GCCGCCTCCTCCTTCCCGCCCGTGAATACCATGATTTCGTAGAGGTACTGTAAGGGTGGGTGGTGGAAATGTCGTTTGTTTTATCCTTATTCTGGTTATTATAGTTATTATCATTATGAGTGTCATAATCATCAGCATTATTGTTGTTGTTGTTGTTATTATCCTTATTATTACTGTTGTGATTATCATTATTATCATCATTATTATCATTATCGTTATTATTGTAAGCTATCACAATACTAGGATTTTTTGTAGTATTATCATTAGTAGCAGTAGCAGTCTCATTCTTAAAATTACTATCATTATCATGAGTATTATTATCAACATTATCACAGTTATCATCATCATTATTATCATTACTACGACCATTAACAATTATCCTTAATATCAACATCATTATCCCAGTCAACACCACATTTTCTCTATTGCTCTTATCGGCAAAATGGGTATATATTTCACACACAAAAAAAAATCATGACCCTGTGACCTGACCTTGTCCCTGGGGTCGTTATCGGGCAGCGGCGTGGCCCCCAGCTTGGTCAGGTCTTCCTTATCTTTGAATCGACCCCAGATAAGGAGCATGACGTAGACTGCCAGCGTTGCTATCATTGTTATTATGATGGTTGGGTTGTCTGCCGCGTCTGTTGCAGATCATTGTTATTATTATTGTTGTTATATAATTGTTATCATTATTAATATATTATTATTGTTGTTTTTTCACTAGTATGCACATCATTGATATTATTTTTGTTGTTCTTTTCATTATAATTGTTATCATTATCATTATTGTTGTTTTTTCATTAGTATTGTTAGTATCATCCAAATCATCATCATTATAAATAACATTATTTTCATTATTGCTATTATATATATAAAAAATTTTGAATGTACTGAGATGTCGTGTTAATTGAGAAAAAATGTAAAACTAGGAGATGGTGGATGCTGTAGTGTGTGTGTGTGTGTGTGGGTGTGTGTGTGTGTGTGTGTGTGGTGTGTGTGTGTGGTGTGTGTGTGTGTGTGTGTGTGTGTTGTGTGTGGTGTGTGTGTGAGAGAGAGAGAGAGAGAGAGAGAGAGAGAGAGAGAGGAGAGAGAAGAGAGAGAGAGAGAGAGAGAGAGAGAGAGAGAGAGAGAGAGAGAGAGAGACGAGACAGAGACAGAGAGACAGAGAGAAGAGAAAGAGACAGAGAGACAGAGACAGAACAGAAGACAGGCAGAGACCGACAAACAGAGAACCGACAAACAGACAGGCAGCAACCAGAAAGACAGAAACAAAGAGACAGCCAAACAGAGAGACAGAAAATACATATACATTTCCATGACCACCATGATCGCGTGCGTCTCAACACACGCAAAGACCCCTCAAACTCACTCATGTTCAGGAGCTTATTGAAGTCGATGGCATTAGGCTGGGGGAAGAACCCGGATGCGAAGGACGTGAGATGGTTGCAGGAGCAGATAGTGTGCGTCACGTTGGCCGTCAACACCTGCAAGGGAAAAAAGATAAATAAGGAGAAACGGTAAGAAGGTGAGAAGAAGGGAAGGAGGGGTAGGGGGAGGGAGAGAGGGAGGGGAGGGGAGGGATAGGGAGAAGGGAGGGAGGGGAGGGAGGAGAAGGAGGGGAAGAGGAGGAAAGAGGAGGGGAAAGGGAAGGAGGAGAGAGAGATTAGAGGGGAGAAAGGAGAAGGGGAGGGAGAGTAAGAGGAGGAGGAGAAGAATACACACCAAACCGAAAATACAACCATAAGAACAAGGAATAGAATAAAAAAACAATACTAAAACAGCAACAAAAGAGACAAAACAATACCACAAAGGAAACGGGTAAAAAAAAAACGAAAATAAAAAATGAGACAGAACCTCATAACAAAAACAAACATTAAAAAAAATCCACACAGCCACTCACCCGACACCCATTCCTATCCCAAGACATGGTGTCCTCCTTGAAGAAAAGACAAGACGAGGTGTACATCCTGATGGTGTAGTTCGTGCTCCACACCTTCGTGATGTTGGCCATTGTGAGGTTGTAGGCGTCGCTGTCCGCCCAGAAGCCCTGTTGGGGGGGGCGAGAGGAGAATGATTACTTAATGGCGATTGCTGGTATCGTTGTGTTTAGTAGTAAGTAGTAGTAGTAGTAATAGTAATAATAGTAGTTAGCAGTAAGTAATAGTAGTAGTAGTAGAATAGTAGTAGTTTAGTAGTAGTAGTAGTAGAATAGTAGAGTAAGTAGTAGTAGTAGTAAATAGCAGTAGTAGCAGCAGTAGTCATAGTAGTAGTAGCAGTAGTAGTAGTAGCAGTAATAGTAAGTAGTGTTGTTAGTAGTAGTAGTACAAGTAGTAGTAATAGTACTGTTACTATCATTATTATCATTATCATCTTTATCACCATCATCATCATTTTTATTATTAGCATCATTATCATTGTTACAATTTATTACTGTTATCAGCAGTAGTAGTAAAAGCATAATTACCACATGACCCTCACAATCATCATTATCACAACTAAATCACTAACATCCAATCAATATCATCATCAACCACACATTACATACACCATCCCTCCCTCCTTCCCTCTCTCCCTTCCTTCAACATCAAAATCATTTTTCAACATCCAATATAGTTCTTTTTCGCAAAACCCACCTCATCGTCGGTGTGGTTAGCGAATTCGGAGAGACAAACGTAGTATAAACCCGTCTGGTTTGTCACAAATTCATCCTCGAGGTACACGTCATAGAGAGGGAAGCTACGTATAAAGAGAACCGTATTATTATTGACTAATAATTGTAAAAAAAACGAGACAGTTGTTAATTTTATGAATGAGCGATAGGTAGGGCTTTCATTATCGTACATCTGGTAATGAATAAATATTTTTATGTGTAGGGAATGCATTACTGTAGATTTGGCAAAAATGTATATATTATATGTATAATCAAATAAAGTTAATAAGAAAATAAATATAAATATAAATGAATCATGTACATGTAGGTTAGAAATATATATCGTGCACATTATTGTACATCTAGCAAACTACAAGAAATATCGTACATGTATGAACTACATTACTGTACATCTCACAAATAAGAAAACCAAAAAGTATCATACAAATACGAATTTTATCATTGCACATATGGCAATAAAAACAATAAGAAATATCATATGTGTCGGAGTAACATTACTGTACATTTGGCCAAAAAAAATTATGTACGATTTCCATTATTATTATACATCTGGCAAAACAAAACAAGAAAAATATCGTACGCGTCGTAATCACATCATCGTACATCGTATCTGACAATACTTCATTATCGTACATCTGACAATACGACCTTCATTATCGTACATCTGACAATACGACCTTACAGGACATACTATACAACAATACGACCTTCATTATCGTACATCTGAGACCTTCATTATCGTCAAATGAAAGCATGGCAAAAGCCTGTGATCCTCAGCGATTGGTGGATAGTGTAATATCTGAACAATAGATGGCGTTGTGTACACGGTGTATCGTCTGTTTGTTTACTATCATGAAACGTCACTTACTCAAAACGGTCGGAAAGGAACTGTTTTTGTTTGTTTTTGGTTTGTTTGTTTTGTTTGTTTTGTTTTTGGTTTTGGTTTGTTGTTTGTTTGTTTGGTTTGTTTGTTTTTGGTTTGTTTGTTTTTGCTTGTTTTATGCTTCCTGTTTTACTTGAAGGCCTGCTTTCCTTAATACTTTCATTGATGATGACTTGGAATCAAATAAAGAACTGTTTTACATGAATGTGTTTTGTTTATCCTTGATTTAATGACAACAAAAATTAATGAAAAAGACGAATTTATTAATGCCGCAATGATTGCGGATTTTATTTAATAGATTTGTTTATTTAATAAATTGTAGAGTTTATTGAATCTAAGTTTATATTCACTGTATTAACACCAAAGATATTGTCTGCAGTAAAATTGTATAGTATTTAAACAATGGAATAATTTTATTGATGTCATGTAAATGTGCATACACACGAGATAATTATTGTTTTATTGTCATTTTGTGAAAAAAGTGCAAAACCTTATTTTAATGTACGAAAAGAAATCTCTAATAAGAAAAAAAGTTATTAATGAACAGAATAATTATATAATTCTATGTAAATTTATATATATAAGTAGTTCTTTGATAGTTATATTTCAAGTCTTTTATTTAAGAAGAGACATTGTAAAATTTCAACTGAAACTAAACCTTTAAAACTAAAACAAAAATAAAAAATATATAAATTTATAGTCTCCCCTATAAACGTTCTCTCTTTTTTAGTTACATATCTGAAAAATAGATGGCGCTGTAAGGAGTGTTGGGCCGCACATTTTTTTTGTGTGATCGTGCTTTCCTATCTTTCGTATACAGTCTTTGATTATCGTACACCTGGCAAAACAAAACAAGAAATATCGTACATGTATGAATTGGTGTCGTTTCCAAAGGGGTCGTAGGGTTCTAAAAGGGGTTCTGACACGTTCCGAACCCGAGTAACGTCTTCCAGATTCACAGCCAGGTCGTATTCAGTCAGGGTCGGCATTTCGAGTCGCCTGGGAGAAATAATTCATTGATAGTGTATGTAAGATTAGGTAAATAAGTGACTTCAACCCAAACAATGATCGGCACGAGAAAAAAGAGAAAAAAAATATATATATACATATATATGAAATTCTTTATTTGATCTAAACTAATTTCTTAAATATCATTTGGTTTAATTTAATGAAAATTCAACTCAATTTCTTTCCTGACCCAAATTTCTCATGATACTAAAACATTAAACACAGACTGAAACCAATTTCTTACTTGAACTTTAATTTTCTTGTCTAAAACAACAATAATCCCCCCCCCCCCAAAAAAAAAAAAAATAAATAAATAAAAAAATAAATAACCAATTTCTTACTTGAACTTGATTTCCTCATCTAAAACAACAATAATCCCCCCCCCCAAAAATAAATAAATAAATAATAAAATAGATAAATAAAATAAATAAAATAAATACCCCAAAAAATCACATTGCTCAAAAAAAAAAAAAAAAAAAAAAAAAAAAAAAAATACTGACATACCTTATGAACACGATCAGATTGGCCTCCGGATTCTGCACCGTTATCTCGACGTTGATGGACGACCACTCGCGAGTCACGTTGAAGGAGGTGCACAGCATGCTCTCGTCCTCCACGCCCAGCTGCAGGTAGTGGTTGGGGTCCACGAAGGTCGGCTCTGGAGGGTGGGGGTAGGGAGGGGTGAGGAGGGAGGGAAGGTTAATGGCTGAGGTTGTTTTTTGAGTTTTGGATTTTTTGGGGATTTTTTTTTTTTTTGTTTGTTTTTGTTCTCCTCCTTGGTCCCTCTCTTTTCTTTTCTTTCTTCCTCTCTCTCTCTCTCTCTCTCTCTTTCTCCTCTTCTCTCCTCTCTCTCTCTCTCTCTCTCTCTCTCTTCGGTTTCCCTCGTTAACCTCAACTTCTCTTCCTTTTCTCTCCATTCTTTCCTTTCTCTTCCTGCTCTCTCCCTATTGTCCCTTCCTCCGCTTTCTCTTTCTCTCTCTGTGTCCCCTCTCTCTTTCTCTTCTTCCCAATTTCCCTTCTCTCTCTCTCTCTCTCTCTCTCTCTCTCTCTCTCTCTCTCTCTCTCTCTCTCCTCCTCTCCCCTCTCCCCATCTCCTCCCCTCCCCTCCCCTCCCCTCCCCTCCCTCCCCTCTCCCTCCCTCTCCTCTCCCTCTCCCTTCCCCTCTCCCTCTCCCCTCTCCTCCCCTCCCACCCACTCCACTCCCACTCCCACTCCATTCCATCTCCATCTCCTCTCCTCTCCCTCTCCCTCTCCCTCTCCTCATCCCCTCTCCCCTCTCCCTCTATCCCTCTCCCTCTCATCCCCTTACCCGTTAGCTTCGGTCCTTCCCTCTTCCTCCCTCCTCTCGGCACGTATATCTTGATCTCGTGTTCGGGTTCGAGGTCCTCCACGGGGATGACTTCGATCTCGGTCTCGGATATTCGCTGCACGAGTCGAATCTGCATCGTCTTGGTGGTTCGACTCAGCTTCTCCTTGGCGCCGTCTCCGAAGGACTGGGAGACGGGGGAGGGAGGGGAGGGGGCAGGGAGGGAAAGGAGGGAGGGAGAGTGTTGGTTTTTAGAAATTGGTTCGGTTATTGAGGATTGTTTACGTTTTTTTTTTCGTTTGATATATATTTTTGTTGGGTTTCTTTTTTTATTTTTTTTTTGGTTTTCTCTTATTGTAGGTGTTTCTATAATTGCTTATTTACTATTATCAGCCATGTTTTAATCATTCAAGTGTTTACGGTTTTCTGTTCGAATCTATATATATACAATATACAAACGGAGCCTGATGTTGAAGGCAAACAGAAATCAAAACACCTATCTGTTTTTTCTGACCTAATAACGAAAAAAGGAAGAGCGAAAATAGAGAAAAAATAATCAAGAAAAGAAGAAAAACAAATCTATCTAAAAACGAGACCTAAAATCAAGAAAAAAATATTTAAAAACACGAGAGAAAAATCCAGAAAAAAGAAAACCAAACTCCAAAAAACAAAACTCCGCAGCCTGTCCCCCCACCTGCACAATAACCGGCCAGGCCACGGCTTGGATCCCGACGGTATAATTCCCGCTTTCCGTCGAAGAGCAGTTCCCCGTTTCCACCTTCTCCTCCTTCAGGATGTCGCAGATGTCTGGGAACTCGTAAAGGCCTCCTCCTTGCCACAGCTGGTACCCGGCCAACTCCTTTGCCTCCATCCTGTCAGAGAAGAGGAGAGGGAGAGAAGAAGGATTGAATTAAAGAAGAGAAGAGGGAGAGAAGAAGGATTGAATTAAAGAGGAGGAAAGGGAAAGAAGAAGGATTGGATTAGAGAAGACGAGAGGGAGAGAAGAGGTAATCTAATGAGGAAGGGAGGGATAAGCGAGGGAGAGAAGAGGTAATGAGGAAGGGAGGGATAGGAGAGAGGGAGAGAAGAGGATGAAGAGAGAGAGAGAGAGAGAGAGAGAGAGAGAGAGAGAGAGAGGAGAGAGAGAGAAGAGAGAGAGAGAGAGAGAGAGAAGAGAGAGAGAGAAAGAGGAGAGAGAGAGGAGAGAGAGAGAGAGAGAGAGAGGGAGGAGGAGAGAAGGGAGAGGGAGGAGGGAGGGAGGGGAGGAGAAGAGGAAGAAGAGAGAGAGAGAGAAGAGAGAGAGAGAGAGAGAGGGAGAGATGGGAGGGAGGGAGGGAGGGAGGAGGGAGGAGAGAGAGAGAGGAGAGAGAGAGAGAGAGAGAGAGAGGAGAGAGAGAGAGAGAGAGGAGAGAGGGAAGAGAGAGAGAGAGAGAGAGAAGAGAGAGAGAGAGAGAGAGAGAGGAGAGAGAGAGAGAGGAGAGGAGGGAGGAGGAGGGAGGGAGGGAGGGAGGGAGGGCCAGGGAGGAGGAGAGAGAGAGAAGAGAGAGAGAGAGAGAGAGAGAGAGAGAGGAGGGAGGAGGGAGGGAGGGAGGAGGAGGAGGGAGAGAGAGAGAAGAGAGGAGAGAGAGAGAG